ATTTGGTTCTTTTAAGTGTTTAATTTATTATTTTGTCTATTTCTAACAAAATCTATTATTCTGAACCTCTTTGCAATCGGGAAGGTACTTTCAAATCTGTTGGTCCTTTTGATCCTCATCACGCTTCCATAAAGGTAAATGGGACAGATAGGATATGCCTGGATTTTCAGATGCAGGAGCAGAATCCTAAAGAAGATGGTTGATGTATCCAAGTTTACATTACTTAATTATAAGCAGCAAAGCTGATAAAAACTGGACCTTGGGGGCTATCGACTCTTACTCCGAAATTCTTTTGACAGTATCCTGATTTCCTACAAAGGAGCATATATAGGAATGATCTGTGTGGATATTTCTGACTTACCGTAAGCTCCTGTTTCCTCTTGACTTGTGTTTCTCTGTTAAGTATCTAACTTCACAGAAAATGAATGCTCATCCAATTGAACTGAGCCAGTAATTTGAAATTTTTATTAAGTAATAGGAAATGAAACATGCAAATAGGGACAAATATTGGAGGGATTATTGGGAAAACAGCACTGGAGGCTGTTACACAAATATTACAAGTCAGTTCTAGGCATAATTTCAAATTCTCTACCCTAATTTTCCCACTGGCCTCAATTTTCTGTACCATTCCTTTAACAACAAACAAACGTGGTTTTATCATGAATTTTTAAAGCTGCTTTAAGTCATTTTGTAACAAGATGGGATATAAATAAACTTATTAAAATAATGGATTATGTACACTAGAGTCAGTCTTAGCTAATAGGAAAATATTACCTACCCTTCCTGCAATACAGGGATCCACATTTTGAAACTAGCTTTTTACTTATTTGTAAAGAGTGTCTCCGAGCCAAAATGGTATCATGGGTCTTTTAAAAAGAAACTATAGATAGATTTATAGCACTGACCCTTTCTATTTGCATTTGTTACCAAGTAAAAGTCATGTACGCTACGTAAAATAAACCTCAATGATTACAATTGGTTGGGAACCAAGCCGAGTTGAAAGAGTAAAAACTCTGAATTATGGAATAATTTAACAGAACATTATGGAAAGTTATGTTTTAAATAATGATACTTCCTGTAACCTATTTTAATAGTGTACCCAAGTTAATAATTTATCATTAGACACACTGTATACTCTCAAAAGAATTAATATTGTGATGCTTGCAGTACTCCGAAGGGTATACATGAGGGTTGTTTATTCTTCAGTGGGAATGGATTGGCGCTTGGAGCAAAATTTTTTATTACGTGTCTAAGCATAGAAAATTTTAAATTAAACTAACTGGATGAAAAACAAATATTTTTCCTCATTTGCTCACAGAAGTTTCTTTTAAAATGTGTTCGGGATATACATTTTTGGCTTATATTATTTTTTGCTTTCTGTTCATTTTTCAAAAAACGAGTTCTCTCCTCATTTTTACCCTTCAGACATTACTTTTTTTTGACAAATTGATATAATAGTGTGTATTTGTTGGGTCGTGTTGCTTGAAAAAGTTGCAGTGAAAATTATCAGTCTTTTTATTTGTTTAATTTATTCAATAAAGTAAGAGAATCGAACCCCTCAGCCTGGGCCTAAAAGCCCTGCCCCTTCTCTTCTCCTTCCGTTCTCATTCCCAGGCCACTGGGTTTGGGCACCGAGCTTTAAATGCCATCTATATGCGTCTCCCGCATTTCTCTGTCCAGCCCAAGCCCCTCTCCTGAACCCCAGAGCCTTATTCCCAGTTGCCGACTAGATCTTTCATGTGGATGTCCCATAGGCCTCCCCCTTTGCCCCCCTTACCCTAGCGAAGCCACCCTTCTAGCCATGACCCCCAGCCTCCTCCTCCTGCAGCTTCTCCACACCGGTCAGTGTCAGGGGCAACCCCGTGCTTCCGGGTGCCTGCCTCTTGGCTCCAAACATTGAAGGCGTCTCTCTTCTTCTCCTTCTCCTTCCCTCTTTCTCTCCGCAGCCAGCAAATTAGCTAATGCTATCATCTCTATCCTCACTGTCTCCAGGGTCCACAGATTCCTCATCGGCTCACCATCCTGGTTCAGCCCTCCGCCGTCTCTCTTCTGGATGTAGCAGTAGCCCCCCTCTGCACTCCCTGCGTCACCCCCTTGCCTCCCTGCGGTCTGCTGTAAATGCAGCAGCCAGCAATGACAATTCACGGTAGTCCTCCGCTCAAAACCCCCAGTGGCTCCCCAGCCACCTAGATAGAGAGCAGATGTCCTTATCATGACCCGTAAGACTCCACAACATCTGGCCGTGGCTACCTGACCCACTTCCTACTGCTCCCCTTCTTCCTTATTCCTTCCAGCCTCGCTGGCCTCCTCTCTGCTCCTGACTCACGATCTTGCTGATTTTTTCTTCCTTCTGCTTGGAATGATTTTCTCCAATTCCTTCCTCAACTTCAGTTCTCTGTTCAGATGGCAGTTTCTCTGTGACCTGCCATCCTACTTAAATGGCACTTCCCCGCCCCGCCCCCTCCCCGCACAGCCCATTGCCCCTTTTCTGCTTTGTTCGTCTCCGTGTGATCCACGCTGTGTTTGCTTTGTTTATTTGTTAATGCCGGTCTTCCCATATTGATTGTCAGTTTCAAGGAGACAAGGATTCTTGTCTATTTGGTTTGTAGCTGAATCCCAGCATCTGGTGCCTGGCACTCAGTAAGCAGTCACCAAATATTTATGTAACGAATGAAAGGAAGGAGGTGGGAAAAGGCCAGAGTGAGAAGCGCAGTGGTTGCTGAAATAGAGAGCGTGTGAGGGTGGCCGTGTGTGAGGGGACAAAATGGCAAACATGAGGAAGCGAGTGGAGGGCTTCCACTGTAGGGATAAAAGGGTTTCTTGAGCAAGCGTCTTGATCAGAGCACTCGGACAACCACACAGAGAAGAAATTAGATACCGGTGGTGAAGGAAATAGCTAGTGTCTAAGTTAGCAAGCAGTTGCATTAAAGGCCCATGAAGGATGTATCTTTCTTTTCAACTAAAATCTCAAAGCAGTTTAAGGAATTGGAGGTCCACAGGCAAATATGGCTTCAGGCATAGGTTTACCTAGGACTCATGATATTGAGAGATCCTTTCTTTCCATTTCCTTCTGTGGTTTCTTTGATCATCAGCACCATCCTCAGGCCCCATGTGGCTTCTGGCCCTGTATTGTCTCTCTCAGATGCCTCTGGGAAATTCTCCCAGCTTCTCATTACCTCGAATGGAGTCACACGCCCCGTTGCGCAGGCAGCCCCGGTGTTCTGGGAGGGGAATGATGGTGGCCCTTGACCAGCTTACACATCACCCTTGAGCTAAGGGTTGGGGAGCAGTTGATTCTTCCTAGGGAACTTTGGGGCAGAACTGTTACAACAAGAGGGAAATGGAAGCTGGTAATGGCCAACAGATGCCCACTACAAAGGGGTAACAAGGGCTCAAACTTGGATCAGTGCAGTAGAAATGGAAGATAGAGGAAAGAAGGAACAGGCCTCACAGAGATGAAGTCAAGTAGGTTTCCTGGTTCTGAACAGGGAGGCAGAGGACACAGAGAAGCTTGAATGCAACCCAGATTTTGAGTTTGTGTGAGTAGGGTTTGGCAATGTCATTAATGAAGATTCAGGATGAAGTAGGAGGAACAGATTTATGAGGGAAGGAAAGCGTTTTGTTGTTGCTTTCTCATCCCTGTTTTTATTAATAAAATTGTTTCCAGCTTCTCAGAGCTCAAGAAGAATTGAGTTCTGCAAGAGGCAGGAGGCAAATTCTTCCACCCGCCACTTATTCTCCGAAGACTTGGCCCTGCAGGTTTAAGAGCCTGGTCTCTGAGCCCTCCTGTGAGAGAATCAGATGGAAATGTTGTTTCCGCTCAATAATTTGAATTTCCTTACTTGAGCCACCAGCATCTGTAGAGTGAAAAGCCCGTTGGAGCTGAGTTCAGTCTTTTCTCATAGAACGTTTTCACACAATATTGTGGCTTAGGATTATAAGGCCATCTTCTAATGCGCTGTGGGTTAGCCTAGGGAAACGTGACCCTCAGCTACAGAACTCGAATGAATGCCTTGTCAAATTCTGAAGCGAGAAACTTTTTTCATTGTTGATGGACCAGGATGCAAGGAAGGGGTGAGTGCAAGCAGGCAATGATAAAATGACTTGGGCCAATACAGTAGTCAGCATGTTTTTGAGTGTTTACTATCTGCCAGGTACTGTTCTAAGTTCTCAATGTATAATAAGTCATTCGATCACCACAGCAACCCTTTGTGGTGAGGCCTATCATTCTCTCCACTTTACAGATGAGGAAACTGAGACCTAGAAAGGTCATGTGCCTTGCCGAAGGCCCCACAGCTAATAAATGGAACTAGGACTCAAACACAGTCTGGCTCAAGGGCCTGTCCTCTTTTTTTTTTTTTAAGAGACAGGGAGAGAGGGGGGTGGTTGGGGTGCAGAAGGAGAGGGGGAGAGAGAATCTTAAGCAAGCTCCACCCCCAGCATGGAGCCCAACATGGGGCTCCATCTCACGACCCTGAGATCATGACCTGAGGCCAAAATCAAGAGTCGGACGCTTAACCGACTGAGCCACCCAGGCGCCCCAAGGGCCCGTCCTCTTAATAAACTGATCATATATTCCAGACTTGCCCAAGACAGGTATAATTTATGCCTGTTGTCTTCACATAATTATAAATAGGAACTCTAGAAAGTGTCCCCATTTGGACAATAAATTATGAACACCGCCCCTCCTAACCGTGATATTTTGCTTATTCAAAGCCAAGAAAATCTTATCTGAGCAATAGAAGTATCAAGTGATTAGGCTCCCTCTCCAGTCATAAGAGGGGTGACAATTTGGGTTGAATATGACGTTTTGGTCATCATCCACTTTGTCCTAAGAATTAAACCGGCTGTATGGGTTGGTGTAGGTTTGGTTTTAATGGGCAAATCACTCTGTTCTGACTTTTAAGGCTCTGTTTTATGTTACTGTAGAGTTGCCAATGATCATAGTTTTCCTCTTTCTGGAATGGTTTGATTTATGCCTCGACATTTGGCCCCTCCAGGTTCCGCCCGATCTCCAGAACGAAGTACTGATCAGCCTGTTGGAGACCGATCCCGATGTGGTGGACTATTTACTCAGAAGAAAGGCCTCCCAGTCCTCGTGAGTACACCAGTTGCTCGTCTTCTAAAGCTGCCATGGGGATTCCTCTTTTCATTTCTAAAGAATTAGAGAAGTTTACATAATTCCACACAGGGTAACTGGCAGTGGAGATGTGGCAACTTTCTGGCAGATCTTGTCAGCCCACCTACCCAGAAAATGCTTCCATTTTCCTAATCCACTTATTAAATTAGAAAGTGCTTTATGGGGGTGTTGCTGTTTCATTTTTGGCTTTTTTAGCCCCTCGAGGTCCTTTTGACTGTGTTTACTGGAAAAAAAAAAGAAAAGAAAAGAACTAATAAATCCCTGGCGAGAAGCTCAAAGGACTCTGATGCACATCAGTGATTCTACTTCTAGAATCCCGATAGCTGTGCTTACGGGTCCCTTAGGCTGCACCTGGATGCATCTTACTTGTGTAACTTGCCAGCGCAATTGACACATTACCAAACCACAAGACGAGCCTCTCCCGAGGCCTAGGTGCCCATTTAAAATTAGAGGTGTGTGCTCTCCTGACTCTCCTCTCTTTATAATTAATAGCCTTTTGGTAAAAATGCACGCTGGGCTCCACATGTAGCCATGTTTGCAGTGAGTAAAGCACAAGCCATGCTGTAGGCTCTGCTTTGCCGCCATTTTTGCCCCCAAAGGAAGACCATTGGATTTTGCTTGAGCCAGATTTTAGGCTTAATCTCAAACATTTGTGGGGGTGCTGAGCACTTGGCAAAGCCAGTGAAGAGGGTATTATGGCGTCATTAACCAGGAGCGATGTTGCCACCATGACGCCAAACCTTAAATTTGTGGCGGGAAGAGTTGTTGTCATCCTTTCATGAAAGCATCCTTTACGTTGTGCTTTTAATTTACTGAATGTCAACAGCTCTAAGACACATTTTGCCCCGTGTTTTATCATCTCTGCAATGGAGAGTCATCGTATAATCAATGGCATGGTCTAATATAAATCACAGCATTTTTTGTCTTTCTTAGCTATACGTAAAATAGTGGTCTGTCTTACTCCACGGTGTCTTGGAAATATTGACACGTGTTAAATTGTTCCTTTATATTGATGTTGAATTTGAGAGATTAATTTTCACTTGAAACTATTTCAGATATAAAAGCTTATATTATTTAGAGAAATGTAGGGAAAGGAATTCCACATGGCTCACGCCTCCTTCTTTCCTGCATCTTTGCATGAATAGCAGCGCAAGATCCAGCTTCAGTCCATTTCCTGCAGAGCAGGGAAGAATTTTTAAGTGGCTCATCTTTTCAAATGCACTTTTTAAAAATTCATCTTTGTGCCAATTATTATCAGGCCAGATTCTGGTTCAAGTGAGGTGTTTCGCCTGGATTCGAGCCCCAAGAACCACGAGTGAATAAGAATATATTCAAATTGTCTAAATGGGCTGGCATGTCATGGTCTCGCTTTTCATTTCAGATAATTGGGCTCCCTTAAATTTTCCCTAGATTTCTAACTGTCATCAAGGTATAAGTTCTAATTTAAACTAACACAAATGGCTTTTCTTCACAGCAGATCTTGTATCACCAGAATTTTAATGAACTCACTTCTTTCCCTCCCCGTGCAAGAAAACAGACACGGCGGCCTTTCTGTTTGTGAATCCCTCGTTAAGCTGCATTTATGACATTTCATGGGTACTCTGTGGAAAAGCTGGAAAACACACACCTAAAAAAACCCAAAACACTGATGTTGACTTGCCAAATTTCAGCTTTTATATGGCATGTTGAAATACAGAAATATTGTGCTTTGAAGAATCGTCAATAGAAGTTCTTTTTATGTGGTTTTCAGGTATGCTCTTTGCATATAAATGCCAAGAAGGGAAACTTTCTTTCACTGCTCTTAGGAAAAGGAAGAAGCTTCCATATTAAGCTCATCCCAAGCTGTACAATTGTCTAGCCTCTCCTGTTCCCTATCCCTGTAAGACTAAGAATTGTACAGTCAAGGAAGCTGACCCTAGAACAAGGTCGTAGGTGAGTGTCAGGGCCTCAAGGGAAGGGAGGTGAGCTCCCAGGTGCTCTGTGGATGTCAGAGACTAGCATCATTGAACAGAAAACATTTGGAGAAGACACTCTTAGTGAGGAGAAGGGAGTGTTTGTTTTCCTCTAGGTACAGGCCAAGGAGCAGCCCAGAAGGGTTGATAATGATGCCATGAAGTAAAAATACATAAAGAAATAGTTCTTTAATTTGAGTTGTCTTCTGAGGCTTGAGAGTCCTACCCCTTGAGCTATAGATAATGTCTTCATACTTTACGCCCATGCTTCTCAAAGCTTACTGTGTATACGGATCACCAGGAGATCTAGTCGGTACATCTGAGGAAGAGAGTCTGAAAATATGCCTTTCTAGCAAGCTCCCAGGCATTGCCGTGATACTGCTGGTCCGTGGTCCACACTTTGAGTAGCGAAAGTTTAAAATATCAAGGCATGTGCTCGCCTCCCAGAGTTGGCAGACCTGTTGAAGGAGGCCTTCAAGGATAAAAATAATATGAAGCATGTTATCAAGTGTGTCGCGGAGGGCAGGATGGTTGGTGCTGGGCCATTGGTTCTCAGACTTGAATCCCCTGGGGAGCTCGAAGAATTACTATGCCTACGTGCCACCCCTAGAGATCGTGTTCAGTTGTTTTAGGGTACAGTCTGGACATTAGGATTTCTTAAATCTCCCCCTGTGAGTCAATGGAGCAGGCCCAGCAAGAACCTCTGGCTTAGATCCAGCACATTAGATACTACAGATTTGCCATCACCAACTCCTATATTTGAGGTGGGTGATTCTTGACATTAAAAAGTGGTCTTTGTATTGACAAAGGGAGGAAACCAACACCCCAGACCATAAATCCACTTGGAATTTGGAGACGAGAAAGAGGTGTGACCTGTAGTCTCGGGGGTGGCTTCTGAGAAGAGCAAGGATCTGCAGTGAACTTTGAAGACTGGAGAGGGGTCAACAGGTCTAGACATTTGGGAAGCTTGACGCAGGGCCTGGACAGAATAGTAACTGTGTCCGCTGGCTGTGGGCACGATGAAGGGGTTGTCGTTCGGATCCAGAGCCAGATGACCTGAGTTGGAATTCCTTTTCCACTGCTATTCGAGCTGTGGTCTTGGGTAAATAGATTCATCCCTCTCTGTCTCAGTTCCCTCACCTGCAAACCAGAGATTAAAAAGCAGCACCAACTTTACAGAATTGTTACGCTGTGAGAATAGTATCTGGTTTCTAATAAATGCTTAACGAATGTTAGTGATTACGATCATGTTACTTCGAACTGCGCCATTTTGTTCATTTACAACCACTTACCAAAGACTTTGGTGTCGCTACTTTCTACCTTTCTATCCACTGCGAGAGAGTAACCTATGAAGGCAATATGACACAAGAGAGAACCGTCAACCTTAAACCGTGGCGGTGTCTAAAGGCAAAGCCCACCTGTACAGGCCTGATCCCCTTGGCAGCAAGAGGGTGGCTTCGATTCTAGAACAGAGAGACACAGGCAGAAAGACACAGATGTGGGAAGGCGACCAGCCCGGGGAGAACCGGGGAGGATGGGAGGCGATCGCACGTTTGCAGGAAGTGAGGCAGAGGCCTGGGCGAGCCGTGGCACAGTGGGCATGGACAGATTTCTTGTTTTGAAGTCTTGAGTGAGTGAAGACTCAGCTACAAGGTGGAGAGTAGGAGTAAGAGAAGTAAGGACTATGGGGACACCCGCCGAGCGGGAAGCAGCGGGAGCTCCTGAAACGCAGGCCTGAGTGCAGTGATGCATGGTTGATTTTCCTTGTGATTCTCCTCCGACCCTTTGGGTTTTGTTCCTGAAGCTTCTGTTCTTTGCCATCAGTGTACATACCGAGATAAAGCGTTCGGTTCCCGTGTCGCACGTGGCAATGGCACAAGATTGAATTGGGAATGGAAACGTGAGTTTTCGAAAGGGTGTAGAACCAAGAACAAGAACATATTTATGATAATTTCCATTTGGAAAGAGCAAACATTTCGTGATATTTGGGAATTTAAGGTTTTATTTTCATTTGAGTTTTTCTCTTGTGCGACTACAGAATTGGGGCCGTGAAAGGAGGATTCGTTATTTTTTCTTGTGCTTGTCCACTGACATTTTTGGCTTCAACCAAAACGGAATACCAAAGGGAGATTAGAAGAGATTTATATTACTAACAATGCAAGACTTCCAGTTTTTTCATTGCTTGTCTGGAGTATTTATTAGAGTTATATGCTCTTTTCTTCACAAACACTCAAAATAGATCCCCCTCCTTTGATTTAGGGATGTAAGGAGATAGGGGATGAGAGTGCAAGGCAAATCGAAAAGGACAAGGCATGTTGAGCGCGGGTATTTGCAACAGAGCAAGGTCCCGCCAGTAGCAGGGCTGGGGGTAGGGCGAGGAGAGTGAGGCGCTCACGTAGGTGCCAAAGTGAAGGGTGTGCCAAACACTCAGGCATCAAACTGAACAACATCAACATGGCATATTTTTAAAACTCAAAGTTGACACCAAAAATCTATGCTGAAGAAAATATTTTAAAAAATTTAGAAGACTAGTACCATGCCAAGCCATACTGGAGCCTGAAGCCAAAGGCAAAATGTATAGGCTGCCCTCCATGGAGACAAACCCATCAGTGATGCTTGGAAAATGTACTGCTTTGCTTATCTTATTTTTCAACCAAGAGAACTGCTGTGTTTGACAATTTCTCCTGACCAAGTGACAACCCTAAGTAAGTTTTAATTAAGTTAGCCTGAACTAAATAATACAATTCTGTGTGGACACAAATGAAGCATTTAAACCTAATATAATGTTGTAAATTCTAATGTGCCAGCCTTTCAATTTTTCAGTGTTTTTCAACTGCTTTAATGTTCTGGGGGAAAAAAACCTAACCATTAAAAGTTACATAAAGCCTTGTCTACCCATATGGTATACCCATGTGCTATACAAGGCTAAGTAGAGCATTTTCCTTCCTGTATTCTGGAAATACAATCCAAATAGATTTAACTGCACTTGGGGAGAAAGCCAGTACG